CACACACACACACACACACACACACACACACACACACACACACACACACACACAGATACTGACCGTGAAAAGGCAGAGCCTTGTTGCACTGCAGGTACCTCGAAGAAGAAGGTCAGCTGGTTATGGCTGCGTGCGGATCTGCAAGCTATGGAAGCAGGTACGTGGGGCTCCTCCGTTCTACCTCTCCTCCCCGTACCTCTACTCCCCTCCTCGAATCTCCCTACTCTCCTCAACTTACCGCTAGGCTTCTCACTAGCCGGTCCAGCATCCTGGTGGCAAACAGAATGAATGAACCAACCCCCTTCCTACTGTACTGGCCTGTACTAAGAGAACACAAAAAGACACAGGACAGAACCAAATCGACAATGACAAAATATGGCGCTAATTTAAAGAATATATGAAAGGAACTCACAACCGACAAAATATCCACAGGCCCGCCTGCCTGAAACTCACTCCCCTAGGTCCTCATGCTGACTGGCGTCCTCTCAGCTGCTCGTGGGCCTCAGAAAGGGTTAGGTGGCCAAGGGGCCAGCGCAAATGGATGTCCGGGCCTCCCAGGCCCAGTGTGGGAGGCCCCAACATGCCACAGGCAGCCTATATTAATTAGGTATCTTCAGCGTGGATTTAGAAAATGGGACGAAGTGACTTAGAAATGGTTAGGATGTAGGAGGCCCCAACGCACCCATGGGCCATTTGGATAGCAACCTTCTTTCACAGATCTCAAACCTTTTCTGTCCAACCCATCCCTACCCTGTATCGACTCTCTTTCCTGCCCCGTCCTGACCTGACCCCACTCTCCAGACCTAATGTGCAGACAGACACACAGAGAGAGAGAGAGAGAGAGAGAGAGAGAGAGAGAGAGAGAGATCCCAATCCTGTCCTGACTCTCTCCTCTCCCATCCTGACCCGATCCCAGCTCTCCACACTGCCCATGCACAGAGAGAGAGGGAGGGACTCTCTACGCCTAGTCCCAGTCCCATCCAGACGGGATCTCAACTCTTTGCCATCCATGCTGACCTGATCCCGACACCTTCCCCCTCCAGTGTGACTCAATCCCAACTCTCCCCTCTGTACCTCCATGCTATCGCGACTGTGTGCAGCGTTTTGCATCCCAGGTTAGTGCTCATCAGGATGAAGGTTTAGGGTTTAGGGTTCTGAAGCGTAGGAATCAGATGCTGCTTCTTTGTTCTCCTCAATATATATAGAGTTTAAGGCTTGTCAGGTTTAGGGTTTGCAGTTTGGTATTAAGGGTCTCAGCTCTAGGATTTCGGGTGTCCGGTTTTGGAGTCATAGAACTCCGGAATCCCATACTTTCTTTATTGCTCGCGAATCGAACGATTGCTTCCTTGTTCCACTCAGTGTAGATTTCAAGGCTTGTTAGGCTTACGTGACCCATATTTTCAGAGTCTTGGGTTTTAGGTTTTGGGTTTAGGGTTTCGGATTCTGAAACTGACGAATTCAATGAATGCTTCCTGCTTCTTTATTCTCCTCAGTGTAGAGTAAAGGGGTTTGGGGCTTTGGGTTTGGGGGTTAGGGTTTAAGGCTTAGAATTTAGGGTTTAGGGTTTGGGGTTTGGGGTTTGGGATTTGTGGTTTGGAGTTTGGAGTTTGGGGTTTGGGGTTTGCGGTTTGCGGTTTGCGGTTTAATCATTCTGAAACGTAGGGATTCTATGTTTGCTTCCTTGCTTAGGAACTCAACACTTGCTTCCTTGCTCTGCTCAGTACAGATTTTTATAAGGCCTATGACTTGTGGGGTTAACGCATGTGGGTTAAGGGTTTAGGGTTTAGCATGTAGGGTTGAGGGTTTTGGGTTGGGGTGTTTAGCATTCAGAATTTAGGGTTTAGGGCTTAGGGTTTACCGTTTACTGCTTGGTGTTTGGGGTTTGTGGTTTGGGGTTTGGGGATTGGGGTTTCAGAACTAAGGAACTCAGCACCTGCTTCTTTTTTGTTCTCCTAAGTAGATCACAGGTGATTCTCATTCGGTGTTTCGAACTGGAGGCGGCAAATGGGGGGGCAAAAGGGTTTAAGGTTTAATAACTTTACGAGGGTGGCCTCACCATCATTTTGTTTTCCTCCCCTCCTTCATGAAAAGCCAACAACCTTTGGCATGAACGGGGTTTGAACTTGGAAGTCATTTGAATGATAGGCTTCTCCCATCGGACCTGCGGCCAGGTACCAGAGTTTGATCCAATGGTTTTAAAAATGAGTACCGGACGGGCCATTCGCTACTGAAAAAAGTTATCCCTGCTGAGAACATATTGAACCGGCTCCCGGAAGGCCGGTAAGTCGAAATAATGGTCACCATGCATATGGCCACAAGTTTCTGTTGAAAGATCCTATCCTGGTACTGGTGGTTTAAGGGGTCCAGTGTTGAAGCACACGATTTAGGCCTAAGGGTTGGGGGGCTAAGGGGAATATGGATGAGGCTTTGGGTTGGTAAGGCTTAAGGGTACAAAATGGTGAATGCTCTGGTGATTTAAACCACCAGTACATTTCCCAGCTACTTTTTTGCTGAGACGCACTAGGTAGCGTGGGGGCCAAGCGGGGGAAGGCCACCGTCGATAAATCGAATCGGCGGCCCGTTTTTCGTTTCGGCCTTCCGAAACTGCCCACGGGCGACATATGGGAAAGGTACCGGAGGTTTAAGGGTCTGGCGGCCCCCTCCGGAACCAGAGGGCTCAGGTGATTTAACGGTCTAGCGACTCTAGCCCATAGAAAACCAAGGGTCAGATTTCAGGGATTAGCGGGGTTTGTACGCAAGGCCTCTCACCATTTGCTTCCAGGTATAGCGTGCGTAAGCCATAGTATCCCTCCAGACATTTGATTTTGGTGATACCCTGCACCCAATTGCCAAACAAACAAACAAACAAACAAACAAAAAACAGAAGGAAATAACTTCTAAGTTCAAATACAGAATCCACTTTGGAACAGGAATCGACAAATGGAAATACAGCAAAAGGCCGGTAAACAGAGCATTTGGGACAGAGAAAAAAAGGAAAAGAAAAAAAAGGAAGAAATTCAGGAAATATTTTCCCTACGCTCGGTTTGTTTTCAGTTTTTTTCCGTATCTAGGATTAGTGAACCTGTTGGCCAGACCCAAAACTCCGGACCTTAGGCTCGGCGCCAATGCGTTAATGTTACCCGACAGGCATCCCTCCAATATCTTTTTTATAAGTTAATTCTTCTAGAGGGGGGGGGGGGGTAAGCCCTAACAATATTGTATTGAATGGGATTTGAACTTGCGGCCTGTTTATGATAAACTACATGTGTGTACCATTAGCCACGATGGCCGTGCTACCCTCCCTCACATGCTTGTCACCGGATATGCCATTTATTTGGCCTGTGACAGAGATAGGCCACTTGAAATGCACTTACACTAAGGAGAGAGAGTGGTGCAGGCCATGCACCTGGCCATACCTACAAGGCAGGTGCACTTTCCGTGGCCTATTCGGACGAGATGTTCCCAGCATGGTCTATTTACATCATTTCACTCATTTCGCCTTCGGTGACGGGTAATGAGAGAGAATACCCCCGTAAAATGATCGTGGCAACCCACTTTAAAGATCATAACTGGCCCAACCTTATAGCTCTGCACGCTACCAAGCAAACAGTGCCAAACACTATATGATGCTATCCAGCAATGAGAGAATCTCTTCTTACAGGGAACACCAAAGAAGAGCATATTCTCCCCTCTCCTCCGCTCCCTCCCTTCCTCTTCCTCACATCCACCTCCATCTCCTCTATTTCATCCACTCCGTTGTCTCCTCCTTTTACCCTTTCCTTTGCACCCGTTTACCTACTTCTCATCCTTTCCTTCCCTCATTCTTCCCGTCTTGATCCTCGTCTTGATCCTCGTCTTGGTCGGGGTTGATGAGAGGGAGGTGGTTGGACAGAAAGGAGTTGAAGAGTTCATAACACGAAGACAAATATAGGAAGCGTAGTAACAAGAGGATTTCCAGCCACAATATGTTCAAGAGGAGAAGGAGGAGGAGGAGGAGGGAAGAGGAAGAAAGGGAGGAAGAAGGTCATCTGCAGGGTGATAACCAAGCAGGACCCTGGGGAGGAGAAGCAAGAGGGAAAAGGAGTAGGGGGGCAAGAACTATGAAGAGGAAGAAGAGGAGGAAGAAGGGAGGCGAGGATTGCATCCACAGGATGATGAGCGGGAGAGAGGAGGAAAAGCAAGAGGAAAAAGGAGGAAAGAAGGAGGGGGGAGGACTTGAAGAAGGAGAAGGAGGAGGAGGTTGGGGGCCGGGGAGGGGGGAGGAGGGGGCAGGAGAAAGGAGACGGAAATGACGGTTTATAGACAGGAGTAAGGGGTCGAAGAGGTCGAGAATGGCCAGTTGTTGGGGATTGCAAGAAGAAGCCATGGCGGGGCTGCAGGGAGGGGGAGGCCATTGTTACATGCACAGATATGCAATGTACGTAATAAACCGAGAATCTGCAATGTGATGAAAAGGACTGAATAGACAATGCGGTACGAGTAGAATCTCGACAAGCAATGTACATTCTCATTCATACATAAAGATGCTGAAGAGCGCAGGGAAGACTTTGATACAAGACTGACCTGACAGGACTGACCTCATTCACGTAGTTCAGAGTAACGAAGCAGAATGCTAGAGTACCTCTAACTAGCCCAATCAATGTTTGAACTCGGACTAAACATGCATTGTATCCATCACGAAGTGTGAAGGAGCCTGGCGCTACACACAGGAAGAAAGCGCCAGGTCCAGACATACACAGACGAAGAGATAAGGAACAGACGAAAGGAGGGAAGAAGATGGGAACGTCGTTAACACCACGTCTTGGTCACCAATCCCAAATAGTCCCTCGTTGCCATGTCTGAACCCTCGAAAGTCGAGTCTGGATCCAATGTCACCAAGCTCTGTATCTCTTCTCTCATAGTCTGCAGATGCAGTGAAGTCAGAAGTGAGAGGGAGAGAAGAGATGGTGGACTGAGAAGAAGAAGAAGAAGAACTCTCTCTCTCTCTCTGTTACGAACCAAGTACTAACCTGTGATGTTGGCGTTGTGCTGCAGGTACCTCGAAGACGAAGCTGGAGCAACGGCGCTGCAGGTAGGTACCTCTGGCCTCCGCCCAAGCTCTCTCTCTCTCTCTCTCTAGTACTACCTAGCTATGGCGCCCAGCACTGGAGACTACAGCTACCTACTGCGCCCAGCGCTGAAGACTACTAGCTAACGCTACAACTACTACAACGCAGCCTCCCTCCAGAGTGCTGCTCCCGAATCCTGAAGACTACAACTGCCGAACTGCCTACCCCGGAAGTGCCTGGGAAGTCCTATGTACTTCCTCGGCCTGCCTCCTGACTGCAGGAGGGCGAGCAGGCCGAGGAGGCAGCTCTTGCCAATGCCGAAGTGTGCCAGGGGCTGGCGTGCAGCAGCCTGCTTGAGGCAGGCGTGGGAACAGTCTAAA